GTACAGTACATGCAGAGCTCCAGCAGATGTGATGTTACCATTCCTCTGTATTTTTAATGAGACAGCGCGTCGAGGCTTTACGTAAATGGTGCCAATCAAATGTATAGTAACATGCTGTGAATGCTTTTATTATGCTTTCTCTCCCTGCCCCCCAGCTGGTGCTAATAACATCTCTTTTACCACAGTAGATGATAGTTTGACAGGCTTATGATCAACTGACTGGTCCACTCAATCACTGATTAAGTAAAAGTGGCGATGATTGGAGACTGGGGTGTTATTTAAGTCTATTCCGTGGCGGCACACTCCGATGTGTGCGTTCAACTTTGCTGTACAACTTTTCAAAACGGACGGAACAGGTCAGCTTGGATTAAAGTACATATCCAATGTCCAAAAGAGTCTCTGTCAGGGCACGACTACTGACAGCTGAGCTGCTAACTTGCTGAGGCAAAGTCTACTGAGGTTGAAAGATTAGATGTACCCTTAGTACTAAATAAATTAAAATCCTTTTGAAATCACAGTCCTATTAATATTCTAATTGTAACCTTCTCTATCTTTGAGTAGGCACTTAAGCACCCTTGTTTGCACCTAAAGGGACAGTTCACCCCAAAATCAAAAATACATATTTTCCTCTTAACCTAGATTGTTTTGGAGATATCGGCCGTAGAGATGTCTGACATCTCTGGTTTGCACTTGGCTTGTGGTGCTTGAAGTGCCACAGAAAAACATTTAAAAATCTCAACAGCAATGTCTCTTTCCAGAAATCATGACCCTCAGAAGTTAAGATAATCCACAGACCTTGTTGTGAGCAGTTTCAAGTAGGAACTATTTTCTTTCCACTGAACTACACCCACCAGCCTTATCACTGCGCAGAAGGAAGCGTGCATCTACTGCTAGCTCAGTTAGCACCGATAAGCTAGCTAACGTTATGGTTCAGCTGAAGAGGACGCCATTAACATCTACATCTCTTGCTGTAACAAGCATTAGCCTCTCATCTATGAGTAGATGCACACTTCCTTCTGCCTTCGGCAACTCACAGCAAAGCAATTTAGACTGATAAACAGCACTAATGTAAAAATGTCCACGTTATATGTTTCTGAACACCATGAAAAGTTACACTACGTTTTATATGTACCATATCAACATTTCTAAACTGACATGATATATAAGCTGACCTTGTCATTGGGATGTGAGGGGGATTGTGGATGGCATGTCACCCAGGTGAAATGCCTGCCAAGATGCAGACCCCTGTTCGAAACCAACAATCCTTCTTTTTGGCGACCCTTTGCAGCGTTTCCATGAACCTGGTCTCACTATGAAGTCATCGAAATCCAGTGCTTTGGCGGTGACTTGCAGTGTCAGACACTGACGTGATACACAGCCGGTCGCCATTACGGTACTCGGCAGCGTCAGAGGGAAACATGGAGGGACAAGAACAAGAGTTAAGGTGGTGAAAGTCCAAGTAGGGCACCCGGGAGAGTGGTGTTTGTGTCCCGTAAGATTATAAAGCCAAACCCTGTTCTTTTTTCCAAAACCTAACCACATGTTTTTGTTGTCTAAATCAAACTACGTGGAAAGTTGTTGGAGGAAAAAAAACATCACTTCGCGTTGCTATACCAATGTATTTTGAAAGAAGACAATGCATGTAACAGGCAGAGCTAGACACGGTGTCCCAGAATGTCAACAACCAACGCACCCAGGGTACCTTTCACGTCACTGGACGATTGATGAGGTGCTGTGACAACAAACTTGGGTGTATTTTACTGACACATCGCGGTGCTTCCTTGTGCGTTTGAGCCGCCGAACCTGGGTGTTTTTCGTTGACCCATCCCTGCTTTTCTGGCCGCTTTTGTGGCACCAAATGTGGGTGCTTTAAGCCAAAACCAGATCTTTTCCTAGACATAACAGAGTGATTTGTGTGCATAAACCTAACCACACTTTTACCACAGCGTTGTTAAGAAACTTAAAGTTAAGCCAACTGTCTACAAAATATTGTACAGATGTAATGTATCCATGGTTTGCAAAGACATACAATACAAATATTTTTTCTGGTTTTTGGAGTGACTACAGGTAAGAGGAAAAATATGTATTGATTATAGGGTGAACCGCCCCTTTAAAGCTGCAAAATCTAATATTTTCCTTTAAATATAACAAGCTTTATGTAAGTACATCAGAAACACGTTGTTGCCTCACATCTGTCCTTGAGCGCACAAAGTAAGTGAAAGCCTGAAGTTACTTTTCAGCCCTTCAGAAATCCGAGTGACTTGTTATAATTGACCCTGGTATTGCTTTATTTAGCATTATATTCCTTAAGTATTGATTCCTGCCTACAGGAACATAACTCAGTGGGAGGCTGTCAGGACGGCCGTGATGCAGGAGATAACAGCAAGGGAGAGAAAAATAGCATACCACTCACACAGTGGCTTTGGAGACTAATTACGTTGTATGTGTCACCTTATAGCATTTTGAGGGCTGAAAGCAGTGGTATGTGTTTAGAGCCTGAGGGCACAATCTCATTTTACATTCAGCTCCTTTTGTAGCTCCCCATGGCTGCAGGGAGCTTTCCACAGTTTTAACATCAAATGACATTTACAAAGCAGAGGCTCTGAGTATTTGCTCTGGCAATTGATGCCCGTGGTGTTTGCCATTGCTTTGTTTGATTTGTTGGACGCCAATGTACTGCAGAAAGTGCAGAGCCTGTGTGAGTTTGAATAAGTCATTTGCTGGTAATGATCACTTCATGTCTGAAGTGTAAAGGGAGTAAGATATAAAAAACACATGGCAAAGGCTGGAAGGGATTTACATTTATAAAGACATGCATACCAAGGACATATGTGATGTCTTTTGTCTCAAAGGTTATGAAACTTGTCTCATGTTGAGAGAGAATCAGCTGACCATGAGGGACATCTAGTGGTTTATCATGAAACTTCATCAATACCATTGTATTGTGTGGCATTTCAAACAGGAGACTCCCACTTGTTACTTCTACTGTCAGAGATACCAGCAACTGTTCTGCATGATGCTTGTTGGAAATACACATGGAATAAATCCTGTATCCAAAGCTGTGTCTGAAATGTTTCCAATGTGTCACTGCAGTGTTGTGGTATAGGTATCTTAGCAATATATTAAACATCTATGTGCTGTTTGAAGCTGCTGTCTGCAGTTTAAACTTATTACATTTAAACTCATGTAAACACAACACCTATAAAGTTAAACCAGAATACAAAAACAAGGAAGAAATGAATGCATAAAAGGAAAAATACGTTAAAAAGAAGAAGAAATTAAGCTTATATTTGTCGCTACACAAATTACAACTTTCCAAATAACTTATTTATAACTTAACTTTAGTTACAAACGCACATGAGGGTGTACACGGTGCAGAATATGGTGTAATGTGTGTTTTTATTGTATTATGGATCAGTTGCCTCCAGGGAGCGCCCGTTTTCAGTGTTTAGTCCATTGTCCACCTTCTCTACCTGCCGACAGGAACTGTCAAGTCAGACAGAGGTATCCACAACAGTACAGGAACACGGCCTTCAAAATAAAAGCATAAAAAATGACATTACATCTTCAGTGGAATCATTAGAAGTGAAACCAGCTGTGAAATGATAATAAAGTGTGACACTAAAATCATCTGAAGGGTGCTGTGTTTAAATGTTTAACTTAACATTTAGCCAAAAAGTTTGAACTTTTAAACACTAGTAAAGGCGGTGGTAGAATATTAACAGAAGATTTGTTCCTGTAGAGACTGAATACATTTTTGAAAAAATCTTAATTAAGATAGGTCTACTGGTTTAGGTATTACTACTGCATATATTCTATATTAATATTTTACATTTTGATATCTGAAGTACTAGTGTTAAACATGGTTGCATAATGCACATTTTATTTTTATTTTAATCCACATTTTATTTCTACTTTATTGTATTTACAGCTTTATATTTACATGCTTAATTTCATACTCTTATTCTTATTTCTTATAATTCTGTTTTCTGAACATCGGAGCAAGTGTAACAAATCATAATCTCCCCTGGGGATCAAAAAGTATCTCTGATTACTGATTTTTTGATTTCTGTACTTATTTCAGTGTTTGGGAGAAAGTAGTTCAGAAAAAAAGCTATTGTAGTGAGTTTCATTTACTAAGAAAAAATATGTTGTCCTAATAGTTACAGTTACTGATTAAATGTTGGTGATTACAGAGGGGTTACATCCAAATATATTATTTTTGGTGAAGACTTCAAATGTAGATTTTAACATTTATTCTGTTGCTTTGCATCGTTTCGCTGTGCAGGAATATCTTCTTTTGGCATAGCCTATTTTCAGACATCTTTCAGCTTTATTGTCCAGTTTAAACATTTGTTGGAAAAGTAATCAAATGTAATAAGTTACATTACTTTGATGAGGTTATTACATAGTTACATTACACACTTTTAACAGGGTAACTAGTAATCTGTAGCTTACTACATTTCTAATGTAATCTTCCCAACACTGGTACTTGTACTTGAGTACTTTCATTTTATGCTACTTTATAATTCTACTCCAATAAAATTCAGAGAAAAATAAGTTAATTTTACTCCACTACATATACCCGATATCTCGTTACTATTCAGATTAACATTTGAAAAACAAAAGGTGATCAGTATATAAAATATGATGCTGCGTCTAATCAGTGCTTGGTTTTACTTTTGATTCATACCTGTTACACACCAGTACATTTTACTGATAATAATTTAATTTAATTGATATTGAAAAATAATTAATTTAATTTAATAATTCTATCTAATTTTATTCTAATTTACTGTAACTTAAGTGAAATTTGAAATGCAAGTATTTTATGTATAATTGGGTATGGAAAAAATATTTCTTAAGTGTGGTATCACTACTTTTACTGGAGCAAATGATGTGAGTACTTCACTGCAACATATTGGTGGTCAATAACATGACAAACAAGGGTTTTAATTTGAAAGTAGCCAACCGGAAACTGTGTTACTCCTTTATACCAGTGAGCTTGACACCTGTGCACCTTTCCCTACCTCCACAGGCCTCCTCCCTCCTCTCAACTAACCACCTACAAGTTTGACAGCTCAGCTCTTTTAGTGCTCAGACGCAGAGACGCAGCAGCAGCAGCAGCAGACAGCTGGACTCTCCCTCACTGGACTTTCCTCTTTTGTCTTCCTCCCAGTTTGTGTCTTTTTTGTTGGTATGTGTGCGGTTTGCGTCTCCTGCTGGCTATGAGGAATATCATGTGTTCCTAGGTTTGGTCACTTTTCCCCGTCGGACCTTTTTTTATATATTTTTTTAGGCTGGTGTCGTGTTTTTTTTTTTTTCTTTATCGGGCGTCGCGAGAGAATAAGTTAAACATGTCGCGGAGCGCGGAGGAGGTGAGCAAGCTCACTGAAAGTACATACAAGGTGGGTAACGTTAGTGAAACAACAGGTGCGACCACGACACACACGAGACACAAACACCTCCATACACCCATGTGTGAGCAGCTTCACCCGCTGTGTTCCAACTTTCTGGTGACGTTTCACAGCTCTACGTTTAACAGGTGTTTCTATATCACTAATACAGGCGAAGATGAGTGAAGGGTAAACTGGACTCAAATAACCTTCTTTTATGTGGTCAATAATATAGCCGAATTTAGGCTAATATATGTTAAAACAATAAAGCATGTGTTATGAATGAGTGTCAGCACTTTAAACAAGTTATTTTTAACATTTAACATTAAATTTATTGTTTTCTTAAGGAAACCTGGCCTGAGTAATTACCTCTGCATTAGAGGAGATAGACTGCAGTGCTCAGACAGTTTACCAGCAGATATTACTTGCTGTGTAGACTCTTTAACTGACTATTAGTGAGTTTGGATCAGTGGTTTTGGAGAAAATAGCCCCACCCTAGGAGTGCCATTTCCTCATTAAAGGGTTGCCTCGCTTGATCAGCATCAGTTGAAGAGCTCTTTAGTGTGCTCTGGCATCTGTACCATGCAGTAATTAACTTGATTTTATTTTCTGAAGATAAGTGTGTCCTCTGAAAGTGAATTGCTGCACTGTTGGAGTGCAGAGAAAGTGTCCTTCAAAACCATTTAAATGAACGGTCAGTTGGTTGATAAGGGAATCCTGTTTGCTTTGTGGTTTCATGGGGTTAAAGGTGCAGTGTGCAGGGTGTAGGGGCGTGTACTGGCATAAATGGAATATGAAATAATAAGTATGTTTTCATTAGTTTAAAACTTCTTCGCATTTTCGTAACCTTAGAAGACGCCGTTTATCTACAGGGGGAGCGGGTCCTCTTCCACGGAGTTCGCCATGTTGCACAGCCATGTTTCTACAGTAGCCCAGAACACACAAACCAAATGCTGGCTCTAGATAGGGCCATTCACGTTTTCCTGTTCTCTCATGTCGGCCATCATGGTTAAAAGCCCCTCCGAGACAAGAGTGTTGGAAAAACGCTATTGTTTTTTTTTTTTTTAACATCAAACTGTTTTATTCAGTGTTTTATCAGTTTAAATAACTGGTTTCGTTTGTTTTGGAGTGAAAGAGACCTCTGCGGATATTTCAGCTCCCGGTAAAAACCTCCTGAACATCTGGATCTTAAGTTATCAGAGAAAATAGGAGAGCACACATCACCAGGTACTAGCTCGTCTGCAACATGCCGAACAGTGTCTGAGAAACAGATTTGGAACTTGAAACTGCTTTATTCAGTGTATTTATTGATTTAAATCACCAGATCTGTTTGTTTCGTAAAGGAAGAGATCTCTGCGGATAATTCGGCTCTCGGTAGAAACCTCCTGAACATCTGGATCTTAAATTATCAGAGAAAATAGGTGAGCGCACATTAGCAGGTGCAGGCTAGCATCCTGTCTGCGACATGCCAAACAGCACCTGAGGAAAAAAACGATTTGTAACATGAGACTGATTTATTCAGTGTCTTTATCAGTTTAAATCGCCGGGTTTGTTTGTTTTGGAGAAGAGGAGATCTCTGCAGATAAATCAGCTCCCAGTAAAAACCTCCTGGACAGTGAAGGAATCCTAATCACGCTTCACACATGAGCGAAGTTTCAGCTGGTTGCAATCTGCATTCCTCAACACTAGATGCCACTAAATCCTCCACGCTGCTCCTTTAAATGAGAAATCTATAATGAAAAACAACACACAGTTATATATCATATACGTACATGGATGTGAGTCACAAATCCAACCATGGATTTTAATTTATCACACTGTGTAGCCAGGTCTGCGTTAGAGTTGCCATTATAAGTTGATTGGCAACTATTTCTGTGATCAAAAAGCCAAAACATTTGCTGGTTTTATGCTTCACATCATTTGAAGACGTCACCTTGGGCTCTGGGAATATACACAGCATGTTTGACATTTTATTGATAAAACAATTAATTGATTAATCAGGAAAATAATGGGCAGTTATAGTGAAAATAATAATTAGCTGCAGCTGTAGTCTGCACGCTCCACAGGTGGCAACATGAGAGTGATAGATGGTATCAACTGTATAAAGAGGCTGGAGGTGAAACAAAAAAGTAAGACTTAATTCTTTTCCTCACAGCACTTAGCCATCTTGAATAGCTTTTACCCGCCGGGCTCCTCTCGGGACAGCCCCCACAGCTCCTTGGTGTGATGAAACGCAGGAAAAAGACTCCAGGTTTAATAATTTAGCCGGCTGTGTGTGCTGTGTGGTAAGATTATACAGTGAGCTCCTCGGCAGCCATCACCTCTGGCTCTCTGCTATAATCAACAGTAACAGTGTGTTTACATGAGTGGTGCGGCGAATTAGGGCCGAGCTGTGTTTTCTTTGTGACCACAAAGATTTTTGTGTGCATATTTCATGAAGTCTGGAAATGAGAGGATCCGAGGTGTGTGCAGTGTCTGCAGCTGACGGGTCACTTATTGACAAAGGTCTGAATCAGAAGTGGGTGAGCACTGCTAGGCAAATGAAACACTGTTTGCCATGTGTGACTTAATGCAGTTTTACCAATGTTTAATCAGTCCCTGCATCCTGGTCTCGGGTGTGAACCTAAGTTGAGACCTGATGCTGATATGACACGGAGAAAGAATAGTGTCCGGGCTGAAGACATCATAATCGATGATAATTCCACTGTGTGACTTTGACTAAGGAATGTTAAGAATGGAAATATTTTCTTTTTCTGTCCTCATTGTCAAAGTGGTTTTGTTTCCTCTCATACTTTCATTCTTCCTCATTCTTTCTTGTTGTTGCAGTATTGTCTTTCACCCTTAAGTCTCTGTGTGTCGTTTAACATGAAACATCTTTTTGTCTTCAGTGACATAATGGGACAGACTGCCTGCATGTGAACTGCGCCTAAAGGTCATAGCTCCTGTTAATGGATAGTCAGCAGGGTTTAACATGACTGTGTGTGTGTTTCATTCTTTCCCACAGCTGATGTCACTCAGTCAGGTGGACAGGCACCCACCTGTTGAGTCAGCTCAGACCTTGAATGTAGTTGTGACTAACCGTCTCTCCTTCTGTCTCCACCCACCCAGAGTGTGATGGACCAGTTCAACCCAGGACTGAGGAATCTGGTCAACCTGGGCAAAAGCTATGAGAAAGCAGTGGCTGGTGAGCATTTTTACTACATTTAAAGGAACAGTGCACCCCAAAATCAAAAATACACATTTTCCTCATGACTGTGGTGCTATTTGTCAATCTAGATTATTTTTGGAGTGGGAGTTGCAGAGTTTTGGACATATCAGCCTTCTCTCGATTCTAGTCACGCTACATGGTGCTCGAATTTGCTGCTCAAAGTGCCAAAAAAAGTTTCATGTAGGAGCTCTTCTTTCCACTGAACTACACCCACAAACTTTATCCTTTTTCATTTTTCTGTAACCACATATCCTGTTAGGGGTTGCGAGTGGGCGAGAGCCTGGATGCACCCTGGATAGGTCACCAGACTATCACAGGGCTGACACATAGAGACAGACAACCATTCACTCACCTTCACACCTACGGACAATTTAGAGTCACTAGTTAACCTGCATGTCTTTGGACTGTGGGAGTACCCATGAAAACCCACTCTGACACAGTGAGAACATGCAAGCTCTGCACACCCCTGGTTTGAACCCCCAGGAACCTTCTTGTTGTGAGGCGACAGTGCTAACCACTGCACCACCGTGCCACCATATCATTTTTCCGTGACCGCGCAAAATTAAGTGTGTGTCTACTCGTTACAGACATTAATGGTGTCCTCCTCAGCTGAGCTCTAACGTTAGCTAGCTCAGTGGTGCTAGATGAGCTAGCAGTAGACCAGTTGGCCGGTGTAGTTTGATAGAAAGAAGATAGTTCCTACATGAAACTGCTCACAGCAAGGTCTGTGGATTATGTGAGTAACCAGGCCATGACTTCTATAAAGACACATTGTTGTTGAGTTTTGAACACCACAAGCTGAGTGCCATGTAGTTCCATTATATTCAAGAAAAGGTAGACATCTCCAACACTCTGCAGCTCACTCCAGACAATCTAGACTGATATATAGCACAACCGATAAGAGGGAAAATATGTATTTTTGACTCTGTGGTGAACTGTCATTTTAATAAACATTCACAGTAACTTAGAATTTGATAAACAGATGCTTGTAACTAGAAGGCTGACAGGTGGCTGGGAGAATAAGGTGCACCCGAGGCAAACTTAAGTATCTTTTTATGGAGCATATTTAGGTTGTTGTTCAGTACATTAGGGAGCTGATTTTTTTCCAAACTATTCTAACAAACATTAATGATCATTTTATCGTTTTCCCAGCGATGATCCTGGCGGGAAAGTTGTATTTTGATGCTTTGTCTAAGATTGGGGAGAACGCTGCAGTGTCTCCTGTCTCCAGAGAATTAGGTAAGTTTCCATGTTGCCTTGTCCTCTGGCTCTCTACTGAGATAAACTAGGAGAACTCTGCAGCCTGTGGAGATACTTGTTCCTGCTTTTCCTGACACAGTTGTTTTTCTCACTTGGGTCTCAGATCATTTAGCTGGTTTCCAGGGGTGCATTTGTACTGTGTATGTTTACAATTTATCAATATATGCTAAAGAAATGAATGAAGGACATTTTCTGGGTAATTTCCTCTGCATCAATAGTTTCTTATTGTATCCTCTATATAAACGCCATTTTAATTGTAGTGTTTTATAGCAGTACCTTGCAATCAATAGAAGTAAAAGAATGACAAACTGCACATTTGTTTAAGCAAGAGATCAATGAGGTAAACAGTGATAACTGCAATATAAAGCAAGGTAACATACAGGAAATACCCCGAGTCATTGGTTTTGAACTCTGCCAGCATCATGCAAGTCAATCTATTCCCAAAAAAGTCTGCAGTGAGGATCTCAGGCTACACTGAGTCTCCATAAATAATATATATGTTTGATATACAGCTTGCAATCCATGCAAAGCCTTAAAGGAGTAGTGAGTAATTGCTGATTTGCAGCCAGATAAAACTTCTCCCATGTGCCAAGGGTGAACTACTGGTCAGGATTTCTTCAGTTCTCATTGACCAGGAAGTTTTTACTGGCAGCTGAATAATTCACAGAGGTCTCTTCCTCTCCAAAACAAATGGACGTGGTGATTAAAACCGGAAAAAACACCAGATAAAACAGTTTCACATTACAAATCTGTGTTTTCCTGACATTATTTGGCTCGTCACGGTGGGGCTGCTAACTATGGTGGCTGAATCGAAAACGTGAAACACAAACGGCCCTTTTTAGAGCCAGTGTTTGGTTTGTCTGTTCTGGACGACTGTAGAAACATGGCGGTGCAACATGGTGAACTCAGTGAAGGAAGAAGTGCTCCCTATGTAGATATAAATGTCCCATTCTAAGGTAGTATAAACATGAGAATTCTTATTATACACTAATGAAAACAAACTTATTATATTAGATTCCATTTATGCCAATATATCCCCTTAACTGTACCTTTAAATGTAATCTACAAAATATGAAAACATACTAGATGTTTTCAGTTGAAGGCATTGGATGTACCTTTTTTGTCGTACCTCTTCATTATCTTTGAGATATACATGTCACAGAGCACTGTAGCTTGAACACAGCAGCAGTTATTCTGTAATTAACGCCAGTCGATGCTTGTGATGGAGTCATGTGTGGTAAGCTCATACAAACACTGTGGCGCAGGGTTTGTTTGGTTCTCTATTTGTTTCTAACCAACTCCCCAGGCTTCAGTTCCCAACAGCTCATTTGCAGCGCAAAGATGTCTGGTCCCCTAACTCACTGTCACTGGTGGCTCACTTTGATATAACCACAGTATGTCTCTCAGCTCCCCTGCTGATTAGCAGCAGAACTGCTAATTAAATTCAGCAGCACAATGGGAAGTGCCACCTGGTGTTGCTCTGGTGTCAATATCTTGGCACAATTAAAGTGGTACTCCACCCAAAATATGAAACGCCGACCCTTTGTAGACTTGAAGGATAAGTAATTTTGCTCCTTAAGTAAGCACTGTGGCTGGTGAGATAAATATCATGTTAGCTGCAGTGGATTCTAAAGCTGACAAGTTGTTCTTGTGCAAAAGAGTGTGATTATAAATCCACGTCTCAGCTCTCCATCCCTCCATCTGTTCAGCCTGTTGGAAACAGTTATTGTTTTTGTTGCAGAGACTTGAGTGTTTGTGCCATATGAGAATATTGACAACTGAGAAATAAATTATGCTGCAGGAGAAGATTGAGAAGTTTCAATTGATTTTTTTGTGCTTTCAGCCATGACTAAATGTATGACAGCTTTGTCTAAATTTAGAGATGGTTGAAATCATTGTAGACTGACGTATTTACCTCCTAGATGTAAACATAAACACATGACAGGAACACTTCGGGGTGTTATTGGTTTGATGCACTTTCTCTTTCAGTCTCAAAAAACAAACTGGCATGTCATGACACTGTGCCGTCTATTTTAGGAATGACAAAGGCTGGACACTGTTGGATTTTACCCCAAAATATCCAAATTGCTTAAAGAAAGCTTATCTGTATTTAAAGGTATACTATGCAGGGTTTTCCTTTTTTTTAAAAAGCAATATAAAGACTACAAAAGTAATCCCTCTCAGTCATCACTTACGACCCATTAGAGGTGTGCGGCATGGTGTTTATCTGCAGACTCTGCCTACTACCTTGGGGCTTTTTGACAAGGTAGCAATCAGATGGTAGCAGCACGCATTCCAAAACGAAAATGCAAATACAGCTGGGAGAAACAACAAGTGCACAAAACTTGTTCCAAAACAAGCGTGAGTCTGAGACTGGCTTTCACTTTCACTGGTGAGCACTAAAGGAGAGGATAGGGAGCAAAGTGGTTTTGTGTGTTTTCTGTTGGACAGGTACTGTCAGTTAGCTATCGAAAGTAAGAACTGTATAATAGTATAGTAGCTTGCAGTGTATAAACAAGCAGTGTAGGGAGGAGGGGCCAGGTGTGAACGTTTTGTTCACTAGGGCTGCCCCTTGAAAGGTGAAGATTTGAGTCATCAGTCGGAGACCCCTCGGCCACTGAGATTCCTTCCAGTTTAGCAGACATTTTTTTTGTGAACGTTTCAGTCTCCAGATTTAGCTGCAGAGTGAGCACTCCTCGTTGTCATGCTGCTCTTCGGTACAGGCAGCTGCAGACATGGAGGCAGCTGCTTGGAGGAAGACATGCTTTGCCCCATCAGGCTCCCAGACAACATTATTTTCTGCCCTCTGCTCAGAAGTGGTGAATTTACAGCTCACAGCAACTTATCACGATACAGTCTCTGCTGGCTTTTGTTTGATATCTAGTGTTCTGCTCTACAGTTCCTGCATAGTATACCTTTAATGTCCACATGCATCCAAAAATAGCTATGACATCATTTAGAGCAGTTTACTGTAAATCCGGTCTTCTTGTGGCGAGTACTGCTTAGAATATATTTCCTGTCGTAGGAAGAGAAGAGGAAATGAGGGGAGGGACACATATAAACAGCTGATTACTATCAGTGTCCATCTAAGTAATTAAAAAAGGGAGTTTTTTTTTTTACCTGTTTATATACAGAATACATATAAATCCCCCCCTTTTTGAAAAGCAAACAAGTCCCACAGTTTGCATAACAAAACAGTTTTAATGTAGAGTGAAGTCAAACTCACCCCTAACCTGTTGACACACTGCGCAACCCACTAATCCCTGTATGAGAGAGACAGAGAGACACTCTGGTCTCATGACAGACCAGTTTAGTCTGAGTCATTATGGAGGATTATGTAGAACAGGGGGCGATTAAATACACTCCCAAACAGTCATCTCATCTAATGAAGCAGGCCTGTGATGCATCGTAACTAGACTCTGCACTGCACATCCCCGTGACACTGAATGCTATCAGGATTTCAAGGCAACAATGTGAATTATAAGGAAGCAGAATTTCCCCCTAGCAACACGAGGTGTTTCACTAAGAAGAAAAAGGCCTCTGCGTGTTGTCTCCATACTCGTGGACGTAGTGAAGCTGCCCCGTCAGAAACCTGAGCTTCAGTGACGCGTAGCCAACCAGAAACCAGATACTCTTGAGAGGCATTGGAGGACGGGTGCACCTCGTCCTCTTCCCTTCTTCCTTTAATTCCTTTAGTCTCCCTCCTCCTCCTCCTCCTCCTCCTCCTCCTCTCTCACCAGAGTTCAGATGTCAAGAGTTCTTTCATCCAAGCACTCAGGCATCTGACTTGTTTCCTTCTCTGGTCAAACCAGGCACTGGAATGAAGCACCAGGATGTTTGGTCCCTGCTGTATTCAGTGTTTATATCTTCTGACTGTATTTGAGGTGAAACTAAGTGTTACTGATGCTGGAACCTAAAATATGTTGTTGGACTCCTCAGAGAGAATTTTTGACAAGGACCCTGCATCTGTTGCCAAAAAAATCTGAAGTGTATTTAACAGCCTGTGAGACACCATGACCGTGCAGCATTTTGTTATCCGCAGGGAATTGAATCTCATCCAATCTTGTCCTTTTTACAGCAGCAAGGGCTTTGCAGACGCTCCATAGACCCACACACACACGCACACACACACGCCGTCCTTTGATGGTCCTGGCCTGCTCAAATGGCATCAGGCCCACTTTACATAATCCAAGCATGTTTGCATGGTGTGTCAGGTGGCTCTCTCCCATGCCAGGATTATTTTGCCCACAGTCAAAAACGGTGGAGGAACTGTGGGCCGCTTTGCACGCTACCAGCAAAATGTTGTTTACAAAATCCACTCAAAGTGGGAGTTTTTTTTCTCTCTCTCTCTCTGTTTTCTATATTTTGCACACGTAGTTCTGTTCATTTCACTCTCACGCTTTCTTTATTTTACTTTGTTTTACTTTCTCCTCGCTCCACAGCTGCCTCAGAGCTCATGGCTGCAAAAATGGAGCTTGAGCAAATTTTTTTAATGTTTCATTTATTGCAATCAGGTCATCATTGTTCATAGCATGCATTTATAATGACATGGATGAGGCCCTGTCTGCAATGTACACAGATATTTTCCTCTATGTTTTGGCCTCTCATCCACACGTTAACGGAGTTTAGGGTCATTAAAATGGAGATTTTTAAAAACAAAACTCTGGTTAGTGAGAATTTGGAAAACGATTGTGCATGCCCATTGTAGCTTTGCATAATGAGCATGCGTGAGAAACAACAACAATGGCAGACTACCGGTTTGCTAATATTTTTTTAGCACTGCTTGGTCTAATATCTACTTTAGACCTAGCACTGCTGCACCACTTCACGGACTAATGGGGGCCATCTGCTGCACCAGGGTCTGTATTCACAAACATTCTGAAAACACTCTCAGAGAGCTCCTGATTTAGCCTAAAAAATTTTTTTACCAAGGAGTCCTAGCTTAGGAGTGATTTAGGAAAGTTCTCAGAGCAACTCTG